CCATCCTAACCTTAGCTAAATTCTTATGTCCTGAAAATCTGACTACCCCCGATCTACTAGTTTGACCTATGTAGTTGAGTTAACTCACAGTTATTGCAGGGTATTTTGTAAATTGTACTGTTTTGTCTAATTGGGTCAACAGGGTCCCTCAACCTACAGAGCTTGTCCCTGACGACCATTGATATCATTATGAGTGGCACCAAATTGTGCTCGAAATGTCATCATCAGTAAACATTACTGTATAACACACTGTGAGACTTTATCAAAACAAATTTTAACATAATATAATTATACTCTACCACAGTGCACAAGTTTTATTCTTATAAAAAAAACCCAGCTATTACAACAAATTTTTAGACTGTTTGAATCCCTTAGCATGCCACTTGGTCAATAAAACGTGACTGTGTCTTTCTAACGCTTTATGAACCGAGTTACTACCGAGCTTTGATCTTGTTTTTGTGTAAGCACTTACATGGACGATCGCACAGATCGTCGTCATGCTTTCAATCGACGTTTTGAGAAATAGAGAGTGGTGATTAATACCAGAATATGTATCTAGTGTTTCCTCGATTGAATTTTCTTATGTTCTACCTGTTTTATTGATATAAGTATAAAACTTGGGCACTGTGGTAGAGTGCAACTCCAATATGGATAAGATTTTATTTTGATAAAATCACACAGTGTGTTATACAGTAATATTAACTGATGACAACGTTTCAAGCACAAATTATTACCAGTCACAATCATACCAAGTCACTCACTCACATGACTTTCTTGCTTCATTTATATACATGAGTAAAATTGATTAGACATTTGAATAAAAATCAATATAAGATAAAGTACATTCGGAAATCATAATATAAATGTTATCAATGAAGTACAATCAGATGGTCGAAAGCAAAATAAAAATAATGGGGAAACTAATAATGATAAAATAAATAAGAAAGAATATAAGGCATCTACTGTTATACCATTTAAGGAGGGGACATATGAGGCCCTAGGTAGGATTCTTAATAAAGCAGGAATTAGAGTGGCGTTCAAACCTACAAACTCACTCAGGAAGGACAAGCTCTGTAGGTTAAACCACCCAGTGGATCCAATTAAACAAAATAATATAATTTACAAAATACTTTGCAGTGACTGTGAATTAGATCAGCTAAATAGGTCAGTCTAGTATATGAGGAGTAGTGAGATTATCAGAACATACGAATTTAGCTAAAGTTAGAATGACTGATCCCACGATGATAAGTAATTTAGAAAAAACTCAGCACTGCATGCATTAACATACGACTACACAATAGGGTGGGTGGGACAGAGTCGAAATTCTTAAGGGTAATATAGGTAGATGGAGAGAGACCGAGGTTGATAACTGAATCCTGGTTCATGTAGTCTACACCCAACACAATACATGAAATAGAAGTGACTCAATGCAAACACCAGAGATATGGAACATATTATTACCAACAGCCAAATCAGAGGATAATAAATAATCTTAAAATGTATTCAATTCACATTCCAACAAGCAAGTTATTTATTTTACTATGAAAACATCTTAAATCCCTTCCCATCTGATTGTATTTGATTGATAACACTAATATTATTATTTCCGAATGTACTTTAACATCTTATATTGATTTTATTCAATCAAATGTCTCATCGCATCAATGTTTACTCATTGTATATAAATGAAGCAAGAAAGTCGTGTGAGTGAGTGTCTTGACATGATTGTCAGTGGCAATAATTTGTGCTGGAAACGTGGTCATCAGTAAATATTACTGAGTGTATAACACACTGTGAGACTTTATCAAAATAAAATCTTATCCACATAATGGAGTTATACCTGTTTTGTTGACCATATATTAATTGGTAAACTTTTAGTGATACCTAAACTCCTTCCAACCCCTGTCCGCCGTCGAAGCAGCAAACTTGCAATGAAGAAGCATCACCAACGTGTGCAACACTTGACTCTTCGAAGGAAGACTATTGAAATGTGACTATTTTGATACCTAAAAATCTGCAGTATAATTTCGCCTCTTCCATGTGTGGAGTCAATAAAACAAAACAATTTAGTTTATCTAATACACCGCCTGCAATGATCGTCAGGTCAAATTAGTAGAACAGAGGCAATCAGACTACAGAAGCACGAAAACCTAGCAAAATGCAGATTAGTTGACTCGAATAAGATAAGAAATCTGGTGAACAGTTCAGCTATACCACTCACCATACGCAATAACACACAATCATACAATAGGATGGATGGGATAAGATGACAGTTTTACAAACTAATGTAACAGCAGGGTGGAGGGAGAGATTGATAACGGACGCTTTATTTATCGAATCAACTGAAAATACGTGTAATAGGAATGATATATCACCTGTACACCCGGACATTTGGAAAGTCTTATTACCCCCACGACCAATAGAAAGGAATAAAAAAAAACTATAAAACGGAAGTTTCAAAGTTTGTATACTTGTTATTGATATCATTAAGAACAATGGTGTTCGAAACGTCATTCAGTGAATAATACTATTTCACAGTGTGATATATCTAATTTAAAAAAATTACTATAGAATCTAACAAATATCCCTACAAAAACCCAAAATTGGAAAAGTAATAAAACTGTAGGGGGTCAGTGAAGTTCTTCCATTCACTCAATTGAATCTCAGCTATTTCGCTTTCAACGGTCGATCAATCAATTTGTTTATCTGTGCCAACTGGATCAGATTGCAGACAACGGGGTTTTCAAGGAATAACAGCAAGACTGTGCATTGTGGTGTGATTATCGTGAATCTCTGTGATCACTTCATACCATCGTGTTAATAAATACATCCTTAAATAGCCGTAAAGAAGTTATATTCTCCCTTTTCTAGTTGGCGAGGTGTTAAGAACAGCCTGGCCCACTTAAGCTAGTGGCCAGACCACAAAGTCAGTAAGTACTCTGGCCACACAACAATCATGAGCATCATTTCTAGCTGAAGCCGATCGCCAACGAGCTCGAAGTCGCTCAATTAGCCTATCTAACTGGTTACCCAGATAAGTACACCTTACAATTATTATTATTATTGTTCCCTTGGGTTCCGAGTGGAACATAGGGCTCCAACAACACATCTACACTTTCTTCTATTTTTTGCCATCCTCTTCAGCTGAGTCCATGATTGCCCAAACTCTCTCATCTCTTCCTCACACGATCTCCTCCATGTCACCCTAGGACGACCAACTCGTAGCTTCCCATTGGGATTCCATTCAAAGGCCTGGCACGCGATATCAATCGACGGTTTACTCAATGTATGCCCAATCCATCTCCAGTTTATCCTGCATATTTGTTCAGACGTCGGCTCTTTGTTGGTTCGTTCATTGCAAGACTTCTTTCTGACCATTTGATCTTCAGTATGGAGCCAGCTAGCGAAGAGGGTAGCTGTTGATGAAAGTCTGTAAGTTTTTGACCCGTATAGAAGGACCGACTTCACATTGGTGTTGAAAATCCGAATCCTGTTCTTTATGCTGACTGAGTGTAGAAGATTTCCAAGCTGCTTTCAGGTTGGTGAAAACGTATCTTGCCTTTCCGATTCTGACTTTCACATCTTCATGCGTGGTGACTGCCTGTAGTTGAAACGACGCTTACTGCCTAGATAAGTGAAGGAAAAAACTTCACTTAAATCTCTCTCTCTCTCGTTGATGGTGGTTGGTGCTGGTTGTTGAATGATGAAGTTTGTTGGTCCACCTTATGAACAAGATTTTATTTGGTGAGTGGTGAAACTTGCAGTAGAATCCACCAGGAAGCGCATTTCACCCTATTTGGGACTCATCGTCAGCCAAGTGACTGGACTGACGGTGTCCTCACACAAAAAGTCGAACCCACCCACCCCACCCCCCTTCGTTTCAAACGTCAAAGTGTTGTCCACCAGACTACTTGGGACACGACAGCCGCCTCAATCAATTAACGCGAAATATCGAAATGATGACTTAAACAAAATATAGAAAATCAAAACAAATGATTCAGCGAAGAGACTGTATGGTTACGAAAAGGCGGAAGTGGTGCAATAAGAAGCGCGATCATTGAACCTCTGGTCGATAATGATCACCCTATCTCTACAGCCTCCGCCTTTAAAGTCATCTACAAGGCAAAGAGTAATTTACCCAAATCCCTACGTACCCGACTCATCTGTATTCCTGAAGCCATCTTTGGCTATCGAAACAGAAAAGCTAGATCTCTGTGTACAGACAAAAGTTCGTTCAAACCCTCCAACTTTCATGGTCTTAATCTCTCTATACTAAAGTATGGTAATCCCCAATCATATTTTAGCTCTACCAATTTTTCATTTTTGTCTATTTAATTTGTATACTCTTCCTTATTACGTCAATTGTTACTATTACTACTCTCACATTTAATTGTCCCCGGTATTATTTCACTTGTTCCACTTGTCATTCTAAATCAATTCCTTTTTACAACATTAAATTCTATGCTATTAAATTTCACACAATATTACGTAACGTTTTTATTTTATTCGATTTGTCTACTAATCTTATAATTGCACACCTTTTCACAAGTTCTATCCATCCTATGAATTATTCTATATATGACATTAATCTGCTTTGCCACTTGACATTTAACTACGATTAGAATCACAAACGCTTTAGTTTTAATTGCATTTCATACTACTATTATTACTACTTTATGCATTCACACCTATGTTTCAATTCCCTCACCGGATATAACTTCTTAAAAACCATATATATACGATTGTACAGCTTGATGATAAATTCGTTGAAAACAGTCTCTTCACTGAATCACTAGTTTTGATTTTCTACATGTTACAATGGGAATTTTCCATGATTTAAACAAAATACAGGTTATAAAGTTTTTAAATTATAAATGCTGGATCAATAATCCACCGGATGATACGATAGATTCATTGTATACATGGTAGAGACATTATTTATAAAAGATAATAATAATAATAACAATGATAATAATAATAACAAAAATCAATATTCTCATTCATATTAAATCCTCAGGTAAATTACTATAATAATTATTAAAATCTAAGCGTAATAACAATTGATTTAAATCTGCTGTTCCTGAATTCAGAACAGGATTATTATTACTATTATTATTACTATTATTATTATTTCCACGAGAGAAACGATGAGTATAAGCAGAATTTATGCTAACGCTGCTTTTAGCACCGGTTGAACACGACATACTAATTAACTCATATAACAATTTCGATTGATTATAAAATGCACTGATGATATGCTCTTCTTTGTTAGACAACTGGATATTCTCAAGAGAAACACCGCCAGTGTCGCTGCTGCTGTCATAGGCGATTTGACTTGATATATGAACAAACTGACGGCAAATGCTGAGTAAATTGAATATACATTGTTTTACATTTGGCATGAATAATAATGCTTGTGCTTGTAGACTGGCTAAATACGCCTCATGAGCGATTTGAATCAATTGGATATCTTGGTCGGTTTGACAACGATATAGTAAATGTGAGAATTGTGATTCAATAACATCAACCTGCAATAACAATAATAATAGTATGAAAAAGAACGGACAAAGAAAAATGAGTGATATCTTAGGTTGAGCATTTGAGAAAAAAACAATTTTCAAGTATTAATTTGTAAGGATTCGATTGATTTCAAGAAAAATGTTTCGTCCTGCTTTAGGACTCTTCATCAGTACACGGACACCCACACACACACACACACACGGGATCGGACCCAGGACCATCAAATTACATGGTAAGCTTGTTGACTATTCAGCTAGCAATGGTTAATGAATTCTAACTTGTTAATTAGCGAATTTCAGTGCCACTACCAGTCAATCGTCGTCGGTACTTGTTCTTACACTCCCGATCTGCTGAAGTCGCCCACTACTGGTCAAAACTTTTCACTAGAACTCTAAGGAAACTTTGTCCTGTTGTCAATCACTAGTGAGAAGGAGATTCGATTCTCCGTGGGATCTTATGTGTATATTACTGAAGAGTCTCGAACCAGGACGAAACAGCTGTACCAGTACTTCCTGATGAAAAATATTCACAAAATAGTTCAGTAAAACATATATTTTGCTTAGTACTAATTGTATTTTCGCTTCCCACAGTCTATCACATAATCCAGTCTACCGCAATCACGAACATACTATCATCATTAGGCTTCTGAACTAGGTTAATATATGTTTGCTGTACTGCACTCTGTAGTGCTGAAGTTTTAGGCTCAGTAATCACACGTAGACTAAGCGGTGCTCGGGGGAAGACTTCCTGACTGACTGGATGGGGTCCTCAGCAAGCTAAGGCTGGAGACCATTGATGATATGGCTCAAAATCCTTGTTATCAATGGCTGGTGCAGATGCATTCACTCTTTGTGATGTACAATATCGAGTAAAATTATATTGTTCCTCCATATTAATATTCTTTTTGCCTCATATTTCTGTTTATTACCTCTCTTTTAAATCTCTCTTCTCTTGGTATGTGTGGTACATGTAGGGAGAGTGGCAACTGGAATCGCTGCACATCGGTGCAAAGTTCTACGGTGAAACCAGTCAGTGCTAAAGTAGTTGCAAAATTGCGTTACAGTCAACAGTGTTGATGAAGTCACCTGTAAATATGGCTACTGGAAATCCTAACAACTTCTTTGTTCTATAATCTAATAAGTCATTAATGAGTGAAATTAAAATGACTTATGCAAAAGGAACGCTGTATTCTATTTCTAAATAATCTATGGTAAGTTAACACGCATAACATTTGGGACTGACTTAGTCAAAGGTCCAATCGCCTCAGATACACCAAGGTATAAATAAGCGAAAACCGACAAAAAAAGAATAAGAATGATGGAAATTACAGACTATAAGAAACGTAGAACAAAACAAACAAATATTACTAATTTATTTAATTGGTGGATGGCGACTAGCAGTGGAATACACCAAGATGCACATTTCGTGGCTCAAATGGTCCGGTGGATAACGCATCGGCGTTTGAAACTATGGGCACTGGGTTCGAGCCTCGGTGGGAACATCATCACTCACTGGGAAATGCAGGTACGTCCAGTTGACGAGTCCCAAAAAGGATGAAATGCGTATCCTCGTGTATTCCACTGCTTGTCATCATCCACCAATTAGATTCTCATTAGATGCCCAGACATCGTCAAAGCATCTGCACAAGAAGCCGACATGTCAACCTCAGACCGAGCACTTCGGTCCAATCAATCGACGGGAATATCTAAAGAAATTCAATTAAAATTACTAATTTATATATGTCCAAACTAAGTTCACTTTTAACAGTGCATCGGTTATAAGATATTCATTATAATAAAGGTTTCTTGTATTTCCCAACGAATGAATGAAAAACGAAACGATATTGTTGTATTTACTGACGTTTCGCTATTTAATGCTGCTGCTAATAGCTTCATAAAAGTAGTAGTGTGGTGAGTGCTACTTATAATCCGATATAAGTAGTATATCAGGAACGAAGTAACAACATGTTTGGCACACCGAAAAGAGCAATCAAAGAAGAGAACCATGAGAAGAATGTTGCCATATGATGCAGAATCCAAGAAGCTATCGAATGAGACGATATTCGACCAATTCGTCAAGGATGTGGTAAATGATGTGCAAATGGCCGGTTGAGAATATGGTATTCCAAATTTAGCTATGTACCATACGTTTCACCAAATAAACAATCCTTCCAGTCTCCTCAGTCTTGTCTTCTTCACATTTGGTGTCGCTGCCTCTGTCGGAGATGAAGGTGCCGTGGCCGCAGGTGTTTGAGGATGGAGATGTGCGGACGTTCCTCAGGGACTTCGAAGCTGTCGCGGAGCTGGTTGGAGTGCAGGAGCAGAAGGCGAAGCTGGTGGTCTTGGGAACGCTGCTGAGGGGCCGCGCGAAGGCTGCGTACGACAACGCTCGGGAGCTGGAAGGTGAGGCCGCGTGGGACAAGGTCGTCGAGAGGCTCGTGTGCGAGTTCGACAGCCCTGCGGACAGACAAGAGGCGCTGCAGAAGTTTCGGACGCTGAGACTTGGCCAGGATGGGGATCCGTTGGTTCTCGCAGTAACGCTGACGAATCACCTGCGACGCGCGTTACCCACCCTAGACGAAGATTCACGGGAGCAGTTGCTGGCATCTCAGTTCCTCGAATGCGTCCCGACAGATATCGCTCATCAGTTGCAGCTAGTTGACGCAGCTCAGCCAATGGATGTCTATGAAATGGCCAAGGTGACAAGGCAGATAATGACCTCGCATGTTGCTCCAGTGATGTCGGAGGGCCAAGATTCCAAGAAGATTGAAGAGTTGAAACAACAGGTGGCAGCTATGCAGAAAAAAACAAACAACAGGTGCTTTGCTTGCGGAGGAACCGGTCACTGGCAGAGAAACTGCCCGAAAAGAAGGCAGAAAAACCTTAAACGATACAGTCTTCCTTCTTTTTCTCGCTCGCGTTTAGAGGTGGTCGGGTTGGTCGAAAGAGGTTCAGTGTACGGGAGATTACGAGTGAACGAAAAAGAAATAGTTTGTTTGATCGACACAGGGGCGGCAGTTTCGTTGATAGGTAGAGAACAGTGTAAGGAAATAAGGCCGTGCACATTAGCAGTTCAGACGGTAGGAGGACATCCGTTGCACATTCTTGGCGTTTCAGACTGCGTTGTAGAGATTGGAGCAGGAAAAATACGATATCCGTTTATTGTAACTTCTGATATAAGACGAACGATTTTGGGAGCAGACTTTCTCAGAGAAGTCGGAGCTGTAATCGATATGAAGAATAGAAAAGTGGTCACAAAACACGGGCAATTCGCGATACATGAGAATAGTGAAGTCGCTGAGGTGGAAACCACAACCATTGTTCAGCAAGAAGCACCACGTCTAACCACGTTGATGAGTAAATATGCCGGTTTATTCACTAGTGATGGAGACCCATACGGTTATTGTGATAAGGTAAAGCATAACATCCCACTGAAGGATACGGGGAAGACAGTCTTTTCATCGCGACGAGTTCCGGTTCACCTAGAAGAAGAAGTTAACCGACAAGTCAGAGAAATGTTAAACGACGGAATAATCGAAGAAGCCGACAGTCCGTACAGTTCGCCAATCCTTTTGGTGAAGAAAGCTAACGGGAAATATAGATTTTGTGTCGACTTCAGACAGCTGAATAGCCTCACCGAAGTAAAACAGTGTGTAATGCCTACCGTAACAGAAACTCTTGATCGCCTTCATAAAGCCAAGTTATTCACCGTGTTCGACCTACGATCGGGTTACTGGCAAATCCCAATAGCAGAAAGTGATCGAAGTAAAACAGCTTTCACAGTCGGGCAGAAACAATACCAGTTTAAACGAATGCCATTTGGATTGGTAGGTGCCCCATTTACCTTCAGAAGATTAATGACCTTATTACTGAAGGGTCTGAAGAACGTAGAAGTATATGGAGATGACTTGGTGGTGTATAGTGAGACAGAAAGCGACCATATAGACCACATCGAAGCTATCTTAAAAAGAATTGATGACTTTGGACTGCGTATTAATAAGCACAAGTCCCAAATAGCTAAAAACACGGTTGTCCTCCTGGGTTACAAAGTGGGAAATGGCGAAATACGGCCATTGCCGGAGAAAATCCTGACGGTCAAAACCAGCGAAGTGCCAAATTCAAAGCGAAAGCTGAGACAGTTTTTGGGAAGAGCGGCATTCTACAGCCGATTTGTCAAAAATTTCAATGAGATAGCTAAACCGCTATATACGTTGCGTCTCCTCAGTCTTGTCTTCTTCACAGTAGTATTAAACCAGAATTTACAAAATCTCAGCTTATATATAGCAACTTAATCATCGTTCCTCAGCATGGGGTCATTTTTCCGTTATCAAATTTACCAATTAGTAAAGATAACAAAACCAGGTGTAGATTGTTGGATTTGATAAGTGTGCAAACTTGTAAAAGCAGCGTGTGTTTACAAAATGAAATTGCTTATCGCATTCGTGTTGATTTTGTCACTTCATGGGGGAGGGAGGGAGGTGTTGTAACCAGGTCAGATTCTGTTTTAGTCCATCATTCCTATTCAATTCAGACAATTTTGATTCCATTCGATATGAAGTGCTTCTTATGATGTTAGACGTTCATTGTGATTTCTGAAATGCTTTTTCTGAATGATGATTTCAATATTCTGAAAATCAATTTTGTGACCTTATTCTATAGTGTGTACACGACCACCTATGGTTGATGATTTCTCAAGCTTTACTATGGTTCAACTGGATTTCTCGGTGGTCAAACAGATGCTCTACGGTGTTTAAAGACGTCAGACGATTTCAGAAGAGTACTATCAATAAGCACAACGTCAGAGTTTTCTTCAAAACATCAGACACGCACACTGCAAGGCAACCTTGTCCATATAAAAGACCAAATCTCCAAAGATTCTCTACCTAATTGTGTCTATAAAATGCTTGCTTGGAATCTGATGGGATATACATCGGACAAACATCGCGAGAAATCAAGGTGATCAGAATAAATGAACACTGTAGAGCTGCATCTGTCCGACCACCGAGAAATTCAGTTGAAGTAGAAAAGCTTGAGAAATCATCAGCCAGCCATAGCTTATCTACACGCTATAGAAACAGGCCACAAAATGGATTTTGACAATATTGAAATCATCGTCCAGAAAAAGCATTTCAGAAATCACAAAGAACGTCTCATTTCATCAGAAGCACTTCATATCAAATGGAATTAAATCACACCTCATGTTAATCATCTACAAGTACATGCAAATGACAATAAACAGCATTTAAAAAAATCACGGTGTAGAAAACAAAAACAAAACATTTACTTACTTGTAAGTAGTATAGTAAATTTTCAATAATAAATGCCATATGATTACGAACTAATAAACGCCGACCTATTCTCAATTGTAAATGAACAAAATTACTATTTGACATTGTTATATTATTATCATCATCAGCATTCCTGCCTGGCCCCTTCTTCGTCTTATAATACGCTGAAGATCTAGCACGACGCCATAGAAGAATTTGATCAGCCCAATACTGCTGTAGTTTTAATTGTGTTCGACGAATAGAGAAGAGAAAATGAAATAGCCTATTGTAAGCATGACATATTTGTGTAGAGAATAGACAGTCGAGGGCTGATGGAATATTAATCTGTAAGTATAAACAGTCTAAAACTGTTAGATCAGTTGTAGGGTTCGCTGTTGTTGTGGTTGTTGTTGCGGGATCTTGTTGAGATGTGGTTTTCAATTTTATAAAATTCTAGATAAATTTAAAAGAAAATTTTTTTTTAAAAAAAAAGACGATTTGGAGCTTATAGGTGGATAGTTTTCAATTAGTTATGTTCTCTGAGCTGATGGTTGATTTAATTGTGAAGCTTTCGTCGTCCACCTTCTAGACAACATCCCTCTTCAGCACAGGTTTTAGTACAAAATGGACTTATTTAAATGCGCCATGAATGATGCAATTGTATCTGTCTCCTGGAGATCACTGTTGTGACTGGATGTTAATTTACGTCTCTCTCTAATCGGTGGCATAGCGGTTAGGACGCTCGCCGACCATGCACATGGTCCGGGGTTCGATCCCCGGCCGACGCACTCCTTTAGAGCCAACTGTGAAGAGGAAAGGTTGAAGCTCCATCCTGTAAATAAACACTGTACAGAAACTTCAAGCCACTAGCTTGAAGCCCTATGTTCCACTGGGGAACTTGAAGGAAAAAAATAGTAGTAATAACCCAACCCGATTAACCACAAAAGAAACTGTGTGCAAACATTGTTTAAAAGAGTTCAAACACACTGTAGCACTACTCAGGTGTTGAAGAGAGTTCAGGAAAAATACCTACTAACCGACCGTCTTAAACAAGAATAGATATCCGCACAATTTCATAAAAAAGTGTTTAAACTCGAGTCATAATAACACCAACAACAACCCAATATCAAAGACCACAAGGAAATTCATCTTACCACATATATAAAAAGTATCTCTGAAATAACAGCTAGAATATTAAAACCGTTTGAAATAGATATAGCACACAAGCCAGTTAGCCAGCCAACACAATCACTTCATTCGATATTGTGCAAACCAAATCATCCATCCAACAGAAAAAGAAGATAAATTTAATACCATTTACACAATAAACTGCATGCATGAACTGCAATAAACATTACATCGGTAAGCGGGCGTCCCCATTTCGAATCAATCAAGAACACAAATTGGCTGTGATGAAAAGACATGATATATATCTTTCATATCAAGCATGTGGATAATTATGGACACAATTTGATTGGATATTGTCGAAATTTTAAATAGAGAAAACACCAAAAGTAATGCCAGGGAATTTCTAGAAGCCTGGTTGGTACTCAAGTGAATCAGCCAGCGATTAACAAACACATTAATTATTACAGACCAAATTTACCAGTTAATAAAAAGTAAATCACATAACAAGAAAGTTCAAATTCCAAGTCAATAAAAATATGAAACACAAAATAATTGAGCAATGAATATCCTTTTCGATAATTTCCTCTCCTAGCTCTACAATTATATATACATATGTTTATATACATAGAATATTCTAGATTAGTAGTCAATAAAATCAAAGCAGCCCAAGGTACCAACAGTTCCTAAAAAGGCCTTATTCTTACAAATTCAGTTCCTCGGGGACAACATCAGCGAGATACTAACACAACGTCTTAGAAATGCTGTAAAAAGAGCATTCCCTGCTGCTGAATTACGCTGTGTCTTCAAAACCACCCCTATTTTGCGTTCGGGAGTAAAAGATTAACTGCCAAATTTCGCCTCTTCCATGTGTATCTACCAATTTAACTGCTCCTGTGGAGTGAGCCACTTACATAGACCACACAATTAGGCGTGTTTCTCATCAGATTTCCGAACATCACCCTGCGTGGTTAGTTAAGTAAAGGACAAACAAAATCCATCCATAGCGCTATTCTATCACATCTTGTGGATACACAACGCAAGATTGATGTCAACGAGGCTTTTAAAGTTATTTACCGCATACCGACAAATCTTAACTTCGCCTTAGGAGTTCGTTTACTAAATATTGCTGAGACAGGCTGTTGGGATCCACATTAAGAAGCCTAATTTATGTGTCCAAAAGAAGCTAGTTCAGACATTGTCCTTACCTCGCTGGCCATCTACGTTCGAATGATCCTGAATTTTTGTGGAATTTTCCTAATTTTAATTGATATTGTATTTGATATTATATTTTCATTATTATTGTTATAATTTAAGCATATTTAATGAACTGTAATTCCATTGTGATCTTAATGTACAAATCGACATTACTTAAAAAACACTAATATTGTTATTGACTACTAATCTAGAATATTCTATTCATATAAACATATGCATAATTGTAGAGCCAGAAGAGGAAATAATCGAAAGGGATATTCTTTACTCAATTATTTCATTTTTTCCAGATGTCTGAATGAATATTTTCGCTATAATAAAAATATGATTAATAGAGGTGTAAATTAACAACCAGTTACGCCAGTGGTCTCCAGGAGATAGATACAATTAAATCATTCATTACCAGCTCAGAAAACACAACTAATTCAATATAGATATGTCTTGAATAAAGACTTTCTTAAAAAACATATCATCTAACAGACTAATGTGGAACTTTATAAATTTATTCCCCTTCACGAAATAGTACACTCAATTATTTCGTTAGCTTCTCACCAGCTGCTTATAACCTAAAGATATGATCGAGTTTATGTACAGAAACAATCTGAACATACTTACCCAGAGAGTTCAGGTTTGAAGAAAAAATCAATATATGCATACAACGGTAACAATAGTAATAATAATAAGAACAAGAACAGACAACAGCAGACAACAATCAGCATACATGGGAGAAATCTGAAAGAAGTAGCCTCCTTTACCTACCTGGGAAGCATCGTTTCAACTACAGGCCGACGGAACTGACGAGGATATCAAAGCAAGAATCGGAAAAGCAAGACAAGCTTTCACTACTCTCAAGCCTGTGTGGAGGTCAACAACACTCAGCATCAAAAACAAGATCCGGATTTTCAACTCCAATGTGAAGTCAGAGCTACTTACTATACGGATCAGAGACTTGGCGCGTCATAAAGAGCATCTCAAACAAACTACAGACCTTCATTAACAGTTGTCTCCGCTCAATACTCAAGATCAATGGCCAGAAAGGATCAGCAACAGGGATCTCTGGGAGCGAACCAACCAGAAACCGATTGTGAAACAAATAGGCAGGAAGAAATGGAGATGGATTGGCCATACTGTGAGGAAACCATCAAGTGACATCACTAGACAAGCCATTGTTCGAGTGGAGCCCGAACGGGAAGCGGCGAGTTGTTCGTCAGTGCAAGGGTGACTTGGAGGAGGTCATGTGAAGAGGAGATGAAAGCATGTGGGCAGACTTGGAGCCAGGTGAAAACTCTAGAAGAGAACCGAACGCAATGGAGACGCGCGGTTGAAGCCCTATGTTTCTCTAGGAATTAAAGGAAATAATAATAACAATAATGGAGAATTCAAATTAGTTCACTTCATATTGAAGTCAGCGATGAAGGTGATGTTATCTACTAAGAGGACAACAAAAGCTTCACAATTAAACTAACTGACTGACTGGTTTCAACTCCATTATGGATAAGATTGTATTTTGATAAGTCATACAGTTACACAGTAATATTAACTGATGATGTTTCGAGCACAAATTATTGCTCATAATCATATCAAGTTACTCACACAACTTTTTCCTTCATTTATATATATGTATGGAATTGACTAGATATCTTTTTCAGTCAATTCCATACATATATATAAATGAAGGAAAAAGTTGTGTGAGTAACTTGATATGATTATGAGCAATAATTTGTGCTCGAAACGTCATCAGTTAATATTACTGTGTAACACTGTATGACTTATCAAAATACAATCTTATCCATAATGGAGTTACACTCTACCACAGTGCTCAAGTTTTATACTTATATGACTGGTTTCAACATAGAACTTTGCATAGATGCGCACCAGTTAGAGTTACCACCCTCGTCAGCCACCAACCCTCTGGTGTTGGCTGATGCAGCTCCCCTAATAAGTGAAGTGGTCAACACGCTCCACCACTTCACTCCCTACCTTGGCGGCCTGCTTAAATCTTGGGCTACCAAATACCTTAATCATTACAAATCATATTGCATCTAATTGCTCACTTCCAATTTATTTTAAATAATTAAATTTTATTCTAATATGTCCTCTAATTGGATTATTTATTCTCGTGAGTACTTAATATCCTTAAAACCTACTGATCGGAAATGCCATAAAAAAGACAAAAAAAAGCATCACGCCGGGTGGCAAAGAGCCTTAAAAAACACCCCTATTCAATTTATGACCGTTCCTGCAATCATGGGTACTAACTGTCGCTCCCTGCCAGCCAAGATTAACTATCTTCAATCACTTGTGTCTTCCATTATGTATCGAAATACTGGGATCATATCACTTCAAGAAACATGGCTACATGATCTATATGATGACAATCTAGTGTATCTAAATGATTTCAAACTATTCAGACAAGATCGATGCAGTTCTAGGAAGAAACGTGGTGGAGGTGTCGCCATCTTCATAAATTCACAATGGTGTACATCTAATAAAGTATGTTTCAAATTCTCTAGTGACAACATTGACTGCCTCACCGTCAAATGTCGACCTAAGCATTTGTCAAAATATAACTACATATACATCTCGAACATTTATATTGCACCTGGATGCAATTCCACTGAATTGTCTTTATTTGCTGATGAATTTACCTCCTTTGCTGCCACCTCCTTCGGAAACTCGTTGTCTATTGTTACTGGAGATTTCAATTCTAGTGATCACAGTTTCCTTATTTCACTTGGTCATGATAACATTGTCAACTTCCCGACTCGAATGGATAATATTCTAGATCTTGTGTTCACAAATGACATAGGAATATTTGAAGCTCGGAAAAGAGCCCCACTACTTAACTCTGATCACTGCATCATAAGAGTATTGCCCAAGGTATATGGAAAGCTGCACAAAAGGGTCTTCTCCCACCTTGGAAAGAAAACACAACACAGATGCTATTCACATGACAACATACAGAATCTAAGGACAATGTTAAAAGACACAAACTGGGACCTGTTTACTGAACAAGCTCTTGACAACACAATTAGTAACATAACACATTATCTCAATTTCTGTCTTGATGTTTGTTGTCCTAAAGAGACAATCTTCTTAAAGTTCGACCGTTTCGCGTCATCTCAACTCAAAAAGCTTCGCCGTCAAAAAGAGAGGTTATACAAAATGAAAAATAAATCTGGTGTTAAGAGAATAAACACTTTGATTAAAGCCGAATTACAAAGATTAAATGCTCTCTATAACCAGAAGTTTCTTTCATGTAAATCCTCATCTAATATGTGGAAGCTATTAAAGGAAATCACAGGTGGTAAGCAAATAATGAATGATACTTCTGTCGATGTTGATATGCTTAATAAATCCTTCATATGTATCCCTGCAGATGTTATGATTCCCAAATCTAATAGTATAAATAATGACTGCTTTTCATGTTTTAACACGAATGATGTCCTCAAGTGTCTTCAATCTCTCAAACCTACCCAGTCCCTTGGTCCTGATGGAGTTCCTGCTGTTATCCTTAAGAAGTGTGCTGACATCTTATGTTACCCATTAACTGACATTTTCAATGAATCTTTTTCCAAAAGTTTTATTCCTGACTCATGGAAAAACATCAAGGTTGTTCCAGTGCCCAAATCAACAAGTGGACCTACTGTCAAGTTTAGACCCATTGCTATTACCTCACCTTTTTTAAAAGTTATGGAAAGACTTATTTTACTTAATCTTGAACCGTCTTTAAAGCCTTTTAACGACCCCAACCAGTTTGCCTATAAACATAGTAGGTGTACCCTAGATGCCGCTGTAGTTCTATATCATAATATAGTCTCTAGTTTAGATAGAGGAGCCAAATATGTTCGGTGTGCCTTCCTTGATTACACATCTGCATTTGACTCTGTACCTAGGTCTCTCTTGTTAAGTAAGCTTGCTGCAACACAGAGTGAGAGCTGGATAAATAAGTGGTTGTATTCCTACTTTTCTGAAAGGAAGCAGTACACTGTCTACAATGGAAAGTCCTCCACTACCTCACTTACTTTAGCTGGTGTTCCTCAAGGTGCCGTTCTTTCTCCTTTTCTGTTTTCTTTTTTCTTACATGACTTGCCCCATTCTGATGTAGCCACTTTTGTCAAGTATGCTGATGACCTTTCTGTCTCCATGCCTGTTAACTCTCAGTCAGACTGTTCCATATTAAATAACTTTCTCTCGGAAATTAGTCAGTGGTCCTCTTCAAACGGTCTTAAGCTGAATCCGTCTAAATGTCAGGTAGTAAATTTTACTTTCAGACGAAAAAGTGACCTTCAACAACTAGCTAGCTCACATGGTCCCACTATCATTGACGGCATAGAGGTTGAAACTACATCAGATGTCAAGTACCTTGGACTGAGTATTTCCTCCGATCTTTCCTGGTCCTCTCACATCTTGCTAGTGACTAGAAAGATGTTTCGCTTAACGTTCTACGTTAGGAAGTTTAGGCAGTCTGGTATAAAGCAGTCTTTGCTTTCTCAGTTTGTCAATTCCTGTATTCTACCCATCCCTCTTTACTGCTCCCCATTAATCTTTCCTGGACTACTTAAGAAAGACTTTGCTTCGCTGCATAGGGCACTAAAAGCTGTTAGTAGGGCAAGTGGGATTTCGTTAAACCAACTGGTTAACACAATTGTGGATAGACATATAATGTCATGTAAGAAACTAGCAAATTCTATATTGTCAGACCCCGAACACCCTCTCCATACGCAGCTCTCTCCTTGCATTTCATCTGGTAGAACTAGAAGCAACTATAGGAAGCTATATGCCAGGACTACCAAGTATAAAAACTCCACAATACCTTATCTGGCACAGCTGTTATGTGATGAGAAAACTGTTAGGCATGACACGATCACCTTACTGCGGCACTCTAACAAATAGTTCCCATTAGCTTTTGTTCTCCTTTCTTTGTTACTATTATATTGTTGCTCATATATTCTATTACAGACTAATTTTATATATCATATCCTGTGGTGCATTGTTTAAATATGTGAATGCAATGCTGTTCTTTTTTTTCTTTTATTTCTCTTTTTCTTTTTGTTGTTGTTGCTTTATATTTCTAAATCCTTATAAAATTTATGAGGTAATTAGATGCAATATTGTAATGAACGCTGAAAATTCCATACCTGTACCACAAATACTGTTTGGAATAAAGCCATTATTATTATTATTATTACCTTTAAGCTAGGAATGAGTCAATTTAGTTCAGTTCTGTAGCATCATCTTACATTTTACGAGAGCGAATCCCATGCCAAAAATCAAAGATACGCATTTCGTCCTATTTGGAACTCGTTATTAGGATGTACCCCTATATTTTTCAGTGAGTGAGTGAGTGATGGTTTCAAAGCGTTATCCGCTAGACCACATGGGCAACGAGAGCCGCTTATTGTGCAACGCGTATCAGTAATTATTCAATTCGATTTGAACTTTCACGTCGATCCAGTCAATCAAATAAAGAACAATGATAATGAAAAACATGAGTTAAAAATATAAGGAGGATTACAAAGAGTTTGAATGCAACTGCACCATTCAAAACCCATTGATTCTTAACATCCCGAAGACTCCAAAACCACCAAGCAATCTACCCGACCGAAAGCTGCTACCTTGACGTGGTGGACAAGCTTGCATATCGCAATGACCCAACGAGCTACACTGGCTGGAACTTAAGTTCCTGTAGGTCCTACCATGCCAGAAAGGTTGTTTGGATAGCGGTTAGACAAACAGCAGCTACCCAATCCAATGCCATGACTGAAACAAAATCACAAAATATCATGCTAGATCGGTCGGGGCCCGGATTAACAACGACCGCGCTTTCTGCTGCCGTGTCACAGGGCAGAAGTGATAAATATGCTACTGAGACACACCAAATAAAAAAGAACAAACAAAAACAGGCCGTGTGTGACCGGCATCAAGCAGTTGTCCCCTGGGCTCTACGGTCACGCAACTAACTTCCATGGTGTGGGCATCCAGGAAATAACAATCGCTCTCACAATCCGAAGTGCACGCGAAACCTCTCTAATCCTCACTCATCTTTGTCTCCATCTTCATCTCTATTATCGTGCCTTCCTTCTACTAATGCAACTCCTCTACTTGATGGCTCTTCACTTCCTCTTCACTCTGTGTGCACTGATAACGATGGAAGCCAAAAAACCACCATCGATAGTCTCCTAAAAGCAATCTACACCTTTCTACGTGGCTGTCACACACACACAAACTCTCAGAGACTTCACATGGACTAATGTCAGATTTTGACTTAACCACCCCTAAACACTTTGCCAACCTAATCTAATGTCAGCTAACAATGCTTGTCAACGGAGGCGGTAACTTGGCATCCGTAAAATCAATATTTCATCGATTGGTTTACCCACTCTAACTAACCCTCTACGCATAACCTCAATATTACCTGCCATATTATACTACAAACTATAGCAGATAAAAACGCAAACATCTGCGATCAAAGACCGCTAGTCTTTTCATGTCTTCCACTTCCAATGGCCATGTATCACAGCCATAACGGAGGACAAAGAGAACTGTTTCGCAGGACACACTTCCCTCGATCGACAGCAGGATATCAAAAATGGGTAGGTTTTTATTTTGATAAGTCACACAGTGGTGTTATACAGTAATATTAACTGATGACCACGTTTCGAGCACAAACTATTGCCACTAATAATCATATCAAGTCACTCACACAACTTTTTTCCTTCATTTATATACATGTGTGGACATCTGAGACCCTACGTAGGATTCTTAATAAGGTAGGAATTAGGGTGGCATTCAAACCTATAAACTCACTCAAATAAAGCAAGCTCTGTAGGCTAAAAGACACGGTGGACCCAATTAGACAAAAAAATAAAATTTACAAAATACCCTGCAATGACTGTGAGGTCAACTATATAGGTCAAACTAGTAGATCGGGGGTAATCAGATTGTCAGAACATAAGAAATTAGCTAAGGTAAGAATGTTTGACCCCGAGAAGATAAGTAATTTAGAAAAAAGCTCAGCAATTGCACTTCACGCATTAACACACAACCACACAGTAGGGTGGGAGAGGGTTAAAATTCTAAAAAGTAATCTAGGTAGGTGGAGAGGGAGGTTGATTACTGAATCCTGGTTCATCGAGTCTACACCTAACACCATTATGGATACACATGCAACAGAAATGACTCAATGCAAATACCAGAAATATGGAAGATATTATTACCACAAGTCAAATCAGAAGAGGATAATAAATAATCTCAAAATTCTATTTCAATTCAAACACATCACAACATTCTAACAAGTAACTTATTATGAATATAAAAAACACTCATCTTATTTCCCATCTAATTGTAATTGATCAATAACACTCACATTATTATTATTTCTGAATGTACATCATCCCACATTGAATTTTATTCAAATGTCTAATGATCAGTTTCACTGATGTATATGAATGAAGGAAAAAAGTTGTGTGAGTAACTTGATATGATTATGAGTGGCAATAGTTTGTGCTCGAAACGTCATCAGTTAATATTACTGTATAACTACACTGTGTGATTTATCAAAACAAAAATCTTATCAATAATGGAGTTATGCTGTACCACCACAGTGCCCAAGTTTTATACTTATATCAAAAATGGGTAGGGTATGTGTATACGCATGAAATAGATACACACAGATTGACAAAATAATACATTCTACAATCCAAATCATTCTCTAAAGGTGAGTTAGTAACATGAATGTTAAAAAAAATAAATAAATAAATAGGATGATAAACAATCAATTAATACTAGTGAATTTTTATTAAAACTCACACGCACACACACACACAACACACCTACCTAAATTGATCGTCTAATTCTTCATCGTCTAAGCCTAGACAACGTGCTGCTGCTGCAAGAAACGCCTGAGTAATATCATATTCAAGAGCTTCAACTTCATTTTCATTTGTTGGCGGTGTCTGATCTAGCAAATTGTCTCCAAACTCTCCCCAATGGATTGAGCTTCGTGGACTACTGCTACAGCTACTATTATTATTATTATTGCTGTTAAAACTATTACTCTTAAAATTCAGCTGATCAAGAAATGCAAGAAACAGTTCACCACGTCCTAAAAGTAGGACATCTTTAAACAGCCGAAGATAATCAATAAATTTATGCTGTTGTATTACACTACACCAGACATGATGTAAAACAACACTTTTGATATCACATACAAGACTGTCAATTTCATTGACATTTATCAAGTTACTCAAACTGCTTTCAGTTGACTGGATCCCGTTGACATCTTCACCTAAACAGGTTGATATTTCTGTAAACCGTGGAATATACACTTTTTCCAACTCCAAGATAAATGACGCCTCTGAAGGATTAAGACTAGCCGAGTAAACAGCCTGACCAGTTTCAAATACTCTTTGAGCAAATGATGTAGGCAAAAATGAAGGAATGCAGTGACTGTCTATCACAAACAATGGTTGTTGTTTCTTCTTCTCATCTGAAATATGATTAGACTCAAGTTTTTTGATGAAAAACTCTGAATAAGGATCATAAAGAACACCGTAGATAAGCCATGAAGACAGTTGTCGACAGAATACTTGCATAACACGCGATACCACCTTACGCATAACATATCGTGGACCAGGAAGACCAGGAGGTGTTGCAGATAATATAACATCTAGAAGTCGACAACTTGATGAGCTAGTATGCTTCATCATTTCAGGATTAATAACAACACTTTCAACTTTTTTTGTGACTTTTACAAGTACAGGCAGCAAAATCTTGTAAGCATGTAGGCGACAAGATAAGTGTGAAACACCCATAGATTTATCTGTCGATAGTTCAGTCTCCAGTGTACATAAATCTGCTCGGTATTCTTTAAGTGAATCATCAATTCCAAAGGCGAAAGCTGATAAATACAAGCCATAATTAGGCTCTGAAAATTTTTCAATAAACTTGATTAAATAATTATAACATGAGCCTAGTTTTAATAGTTCTCTTTGTAGACTAAGTTCACTTTCAGGAAGGAGAAGATTATCATTCACCAGAGGTATTAAATGTCTATCCAATTCTGTGTCATCATTATCACCACCTTTCTCTGTAGATTCAATGAAGATGCCACCAGATATACCGTACAGTGCAAGTAATAATTCATGCAACATTCCATACACTATCGTTGAAAGGTATCTATCTATCTAGAAATGAAATTTCAAAAAAGTATAAGAAAAGTTGAGGATTAAACAGAGCTATATACAATCAAATATAAGTAAAACTACTCATCGCACTAAATATTCCATAGAAGCTACAAAAACACTACATAGTATGAAAGACTAAAAAGTATATTGGTGACAGCTATGGAGTTCCCTACTGACGAACCAACGACAGTGACCGTCTCCTACAGTTCTATCCCGATAATTACCTGTTCCTAGTTATATCCGGCTGACTATCGAACAAAGGACGTGTGTACTGCTCAGCAGTTTCCTCTGCCCTCCTTTATGGCAGTCAGTGAGACATGGCAGCCATTGAAAGTGGAAGACACGAAACATTAGCTGTCTTTAATCATAGGTGTCTGTGTTCTCTCCCTCATGTAAGGTGGTATAATTAACACAATAAACTGTGTTTGAGAAGTCATCCAGTGAATAATACTGTTTCACTGTGTGATATATATAATAAACAAAGGAATATGAAATTACATACTACCAGTGCCCAAGTTTTACACATCTACTATTCTCCCAAATTACTGTTCTTTTTCGGCCAATCAAACTTCGATTTATTATCTCTCTGTTGAATCTCTCTTTAATCTTTTCTGTTGGTTTGTGTGACAAATGGTGTGGTAACTCGAACTGGTGCACATCTGTGAAGAGTTCTATGTTGAAACAAGTCAGTCAGAAACAATTACGTTGGTGGTTTAACGGTAGGACTCTCGCCAAGTACTCATATAGTCCAGGGTTCGATTCCCAACCAACGCACTCCTAAACCTTGCTTCGTTTGAGTAACCAATAGCCTACTCAGAAAACACGAAAGTTGGGGTGTTAGGAGGGTAGCAGCAACAACACCGCTACTAAGACTCCAAAGCTTGAAGACCATTATTTCACTCAGGAATTAAGGAGCGATAAAAACAATCAAAAAAATTTTTAACACCCTCAATTAACTAGTTATTTATCACTCATTTTCTATCTACTTAAAATTTGATTAAATAATCAAATAATACGTAAAGTGTCTAATTTTTCCATATATGCTTTACACCACATTATTAACACAGATACGTGGCTTATTGCGTTCAGCCCCACCTACTTCAACCTGAGCAAATGGGTAGTATCAACATAGGATTTGTGGTTGACAATCTGGTATATGAATGTGTTATAGGCAACTCAGTTGAAGCAACAAAAATTAACGTCAGGTTATCATTTCAAAGATAATCAATTTTTATACCTTCATTGGTTTAATTTCGCCTATTATCGATGATAAGGAGTTAGTGTAGTGAGCCTATTTGCATAAAGCTGTAGGACATTTAGCAATTTTCATTAAGTGCTGACTGGAGACTGAAAAATGTTTATATATATATATATATATACATATATATACATATATATATATATATGATGAACGCAGTCAGCAGGGAACCGTGCTTGAACTAGGATTCGTGCTAGCTGGCACTCACCAAATGTTGCATTTCCCCGAAATTTCCTCTAAAATTTTGCATTAAGTTGCTCAAAATGTACCACCCATTATTTTAAATTCGGACCACCGCAACGAAATGAATTCCTTCATAGCATTAAAATCTCCGAAAGTTAAGAAACCACTTGAATTTCCCTGAGAATTAGGCCTCAGTGAGACTTTGACAATTGGGATGTGAGGCAAAGATAAGATACGAATTGCACAAGCGGGGCAATCATAAACGAATTTATTAGCACCTAAAAAATTATATGACCAGAGTTACAACTACAACATTGACCCCCAGCAAATTCTTCGAACATCACAATTTCTGAAGCCTTGTACATGTAATCGATTTGGGATAGTGCGCTAACCCATACTAGACGTTTTTAGCCAATTTCGTAACTTATTATTGGAAATAATTTCACGAGGCGTAAAAGCATATTGGAAATTTTGCAAAAGATCCAAAAACATGGCATCAATCCATGAAATCCCTGACAGTTAAACTGAGTCAGGTAGGGAGGGAGATGCAGACTTCCGGGTTGGGGCCCGCCCTCGGGACTAAAAGAATCAATGGCTGCAGACAATAGGCGACGTGGCTCAAAATCATTGTCAATGGCTTACGCAGATGTATTCAGTCTCTGTAATCTTTCATATTCCTTTCTACCATTACTCATTCTGTTTCACTCTTATACTTGTCAAAACTCGATTGATTCTCTTCACTCATCTTCTTGTCTACGTTTGTGTGCTATTTGGAAGGTGGCAACTCGAAGTGCTGCACTTCGGTGCCAAGTTCTATGTTGAATCCAGCCAGCCAGCCAGCCTACCGATATCACATGCTGAAAATTCCATAGTTGTACCAAAAATACACTGTGGAATCAAGCTATAATCAAAAATAAAAATATTCTTAAAAAATACACAGATAAAAGCTTATCATTTTCTAACAAAATAAAAAAAATATTTCATTACTTCATTTTCACATCTCCGTTAGACAGCAGCGATGACGGTGGTGATGTTGACGATGGAACGCCTTCTTGTTGTTGTGGCGGCGGTGATGCCATATAAACCGTAAAATCAATATTTGAATTCTTTATCGCTCCATCAATATTTGATGTGGGTAGATTACTTTTTACAGCTTTAATAACATATTAGTTTGTTTATTAGGTATATCACACAGTGAAACAGTGTTATTTACTGGATGACGTTTCGAACAAAATTTATTGTTCATAACCATATCAATTTTGATCACACGACTTTGACACTTGAGTTTTATAGCTTTCTTTGTTTTCTCCAATTTGTCGTAGGGGGAGTAGAATTTTCCAGATATCGGGGACAGGTGATGAATCATTCCTATTACATGTATTTGCAGTTGATTCAATAACACAAAGCTTCTGTTATCAATCTCTCCCTATACCCTGTGACATTAGATTTTAAAACTGTCATCCTATCCCATCCTATTGTATGGTTGTGTGTGACTGCATGTAGTGCTATAGCTGAACTATTCTCTAGATTTCTTATCTTATTCGGGTCAACCAATCTAGATTTTGCTAAGTTTTTATGTTCAGCTAGTCTGACTGCCCCTGTTCTACTAGTTTGACCTATGTGTTTGACCTGACAATCATTGCAGGGTATTAGATAAACTAAATTGTTTTGTTTTAAAGGCTCTATAGGATCCTTTACCCGACAAAGCTTGTTTCTAATTGAGTTTGTGGGTTTGAATGCCGATTTTATTCCTGCCTTGTTGAGAATTCTGCGTAAAGCTTCTGAGGTTCCTTCCTTGTATGGAATTACTACTGATGATTTAGATTCCCTATTGTTGGTGTCGTCATTAATATTATTATTATCACTATTATCATTATTATTGTTATTATCACTTGCTATTATCATTATTTATTTTAAGGAAAATGTAAAAATAAGGAAATGTAAAAATGTGTGCTATTTGGAACATGGCAACTCGAAGTGCTGCACTTCGGTGCCAAGTTCTATGTTGAATCCAGACAGACAGACAGACCAGTGAATGAAATCTACAACAGTTAGTCTAGGCCACGTAGGAAGGTGTAGACTTCCTGACTGGTTGGGATCCTCGGGACGGTAAAATCCTATGGTTGGAAACAATTGGTGACATGGCTCAAATTCGTTCTCAATGACAGCGCAGATGCATCCACTCTTTGTGACTCATGATTTCCAATGTAACTGTTTTGTTCTTCGTTATTACTATTCCTTTGTCTCACACCTCTGTTTACTGAATCTAATATGCATTTCTCCTAATTTCTTCTCTTGCTTTGTGTGCTACAAGGAGGGAGTGTGGCGACTTGAACTGCCACACATATGTGCCAAGTTCTATGTCGAAAACAAACAGATGGGGACCTAAGGTAAATAGAATATCTAATTACTTTTAACAACTTCACTACGCAGACACTTTGTGAGGTGTAAATAAAACAAAATATTTGGATTATCTAAAATGATATGATAAAATAAGTAACAGCTCAGTAATGCTGAATATTAGTGAAATTAGACTGCACATTAGAACAATGAGTAGTTTAAAAGTGTTTCAGATGGTGATATCATTCCATATACTACAGATGCCTTTACAATAAAGATGAACATACTCTCATTATAGGTTCAAAATGAAACGAACAGAGCAATTTTAATGTACTTGTAAACATAACATGATGCCGGTTAATAGGAGACTCTATAATAAACCCTGCTTACAAATCAAACTCATAACTTACACAAAGAAGTTCCAAGTTAAATTAAAATAAAAAATAACTGCTTGGATTCAGTGGCAAAGGAGTGGCCCAATAAAGACAAGAGGTGGATAAGTTGCTAAGTAACTAATAAGTTGAGTGATAATGTGGTTAGTTTTATTTGAGTCATGGAGACAAAATTGTTGAAGCGCGCGAGATTACGCAATCAAATAAGAGGAGGAGTGAAGACATTGAGTTACAAGGGCAAGGAAGGACTGATAACTGCTTCTTTTTTAACACACACACACATCGGGTTTTATGCGTTTGATATCAGTCCCCTCAGTCGGCAAAACTGAGGGGAATTAGACGATTTTCTCAATTGATAATTTTAAAGAATCTCAGGGTGCCCACCTTACGACCTGAATATACGGCACAACCAGTCACGGCATACTTTTTAGTTCATGTTCAGAAAATCAGAAGTATGTCCTTCTTTCTGTTCCCCCCAATGTAACTGCTACCGAAGATATACATACATTTGCATACACAAAGTTAACATAACAAATGGCATTCGTCTGCCCTTGATTGCACCAAAGACTATGTTATCCGATAAAAGGATAACTAACTAAGCTGTGAGATAGCTTATGACTAGTGAGGTAATCACTTGTCTGTGACTATTCCTGCAATATTATCACTTCTGAAATCATGTCGTATGGAAATAGGTTTCCAACTGTACCGACGACTTCAGTCAGACAGTCTACACCTGCCTAAACAGCTAAGATTAACAGTCAATGATTTCGTGGATTGCAGCGACATTTCAACCT